CCAGGGATGAGTCGGCTTCACCACAGCTGTCATCTCTAATGCTTCGAGGCTGTCTCACCCAATCTGACCCCGTGAAGGGTGTCAGACTCACCTCTCCAGACCTCTGGATGCACTGGCTCTCAGTTCAGCACAGGTCACATCACACTGTTAGTGGGGAGCAAGGGGGTAATTTCTGTTCCTTTACCATAAACCCCATTGCGGGTCCCCAGAGAAGAAATAGGTGTTATACCTGGGTCACAGCCCTGCAGCCAGCTCAGTCCTCACCATCAAAGCCACTGTGCAAGTTCAGCACACACTTTTCAGCTTTTCCCCAATTCTGACTTTTTCATTTTGTCCCCAGACTTTTTGATCAGCCCCCCACAGAAGCTTTCTACCACACGTGCAAAGCTTTGCACAGACAGGACTGATTCTCCCTTTTCCTTTCTCACCTTCAAGCCCTGCAGCCGAGTGGGACCAGCAGAGCAGGCAGCTCACCTGTTGGAATCTGTGGGTATTGATGATTCTGAGATTGAAGAAAGTCTGTGTCTTTCTGCCCCATTGCCAAAGAAGAAGCCATAATTTGTCTGTGCTGTTTTCAAGGTTGTTTATTCTTGCTTATCTCTAACATGTTCTGCTGCCCTGCCGCAGGTCTGTCCTGCAGGGCAGCATGTGGGGCTCTGCCCCCAGTGGAATGTTACAAACATTATATACCAGAAACTACGTGTGCTATATTTACAATAATGTGCCAATATCTGTCATCTATGTTGAACAGTGTGTTTCCAGCCTAAACTAATAGAAAAATGTCAACACTACAGTGAAACATGGAGGGCATGAAGAAGGAGAAAAAGGACAAGACACACCCAATTTCCTCCATCTTGTCCCCTTTGAACCCCTAATCTGGAATCCTAAAATTTTACTTTTGCACCCGTGCCACACTTAATTATTACTCATATCAAACACTCAGAGCTTGTAATTCATCCTGTAAGATTGAAAACTCTTTTCCATGGACAGAGATCAGAGACAGTGTCTCTCGGGGCTCTGTACAGGGGGGTTCCTGACCCCTGCCAGGGTCCCAGGCCCTCCAGGGCAGCCAGAGGGAAGCCCTGGATTCCCACACTCACCCACATTCACACTGAGGTGAGCCAAAATCCCTCCCCAGCCCCCTGTGCTGGAGGCACAGGCATCTGCAGCTGCCCTGCACTGGGGAGAGCGCGGGGACAGCCGGCGGCATCGCGCCCACGTCAGCCGCGCTCAGCCAGGAGCAAGGAGCTATTTCTGGAGAACCGCTTCTCGTGGAGCAGAAGCAGCAGAACTCAGCAGAAGCACTGACCGAAAAAGAAAAGCCCTGGTGTTTTGAACGGGAAGCGAGGTTTCCCAGCCTCCCGCCGGGAAGGACGGGAGACATCCCCGCAAAAATGAGAGGGGACTGCAGCGCTCTGTGGCAGCAGGGCTCCGGAGGAGCTCAAAGGTTACTTCAGTAAGACCGTAAACACGCCAGAGCTGCTGTTGTTGCAGAGCTCCATGAAATCGGTGATGTCTGAGCAGAGTTCAGCTTGAGAGCACTGGTGCTATAAAAAACAAAGTGACTTTGGGCTTTGACAGCTTCCTCCTGACACACAAAAAGGTGATTTGTGATTCAAAAGACAAGGAATTTATCATCAAAAGGAGCTGGGACAGAGCTCAGTGTTTACACGTGGAAGAACAAGACAGACACCAAGAGAAGATATATTTATACTCATCCATTAATAAAAGAAGCCAAGTCAACCATACCTTTGTGCTAAAGTTAGAGCACAGCACTCTGCATGTCCTTAAAAAGGCAAGAAAGTTTCCACAAACTGGGACAGCTGCTCCTAGTGCCAGGTCTGTGCATCCTCCTTGGCACTCTGGCATCGGTGTGCTGCAGCAGGAAAGGGGCCAAGCACGGCAAGGCTTCTCCAAGTGGGAAGGCTGACTCCTAGAGTCTGGTCATGGGCTGGTGGCCACTGCATCTCAGGAGCCAAACAGTCCCTGCTGCACTGTCAGAGATCTGCAGGAGACGACTGCCTCTTGCCAGAAACAAAAATCCTCCAGTATACTTTCAGCTATGGTATTCTCATTGCTTCCCTGGTTATGGGGCTCACACAAGCCAGGAACTTTCTCCTCTGCCACAGGTGACATGGGGGAATGCTGGGCTTGGCACACTCAGGCTGGCTCTGTGGGCAAGGACTTGGTTTGTGCGGCTACCTCCACCAACCAGCAAAGGGAAGAGATGCACCACCCAAGGGTTCCAGGTTTGGCTTGAAAGGTCAGTGCGAGCCCAAGGCGAACAGAGAGCTCCCAGGATGGCCCATCTCCAGTGAGGTCAGCAATAGGCTGGATGGTGCAAGTCACTAGAAGCTCCTGGATTAGTATTTGGCACTTGGAAACATTTAGAAATCACTAATTGCAGCAAGTACCTTAACCCACAGTACAGCTGGAGTTGCCTGACTTCACCTGCGCTGTGCTGGGGAATGTTACACCAATTGGCAGGAAAGACAGAGAAAAGTCAGCTCTCTGTTCCTTGGGAGGTGCTTCTAGAAAGCAATCAATTATCCTTCCTGACAAATAACAGATGAGCTCTCACAGTTGTTTTCCTGTTTCCTTTCTCTTCCCCCACCCAGTTCCAGCCCTCGAACCATGCTGGAAGCAGCAGGAGCCAGCACTTGACACACTACGCCAGAAATGATCAGGTTTCAGGCAAACCGAAAACAATCACAAAGAATACATGTTGTCTAAATCAAAGTTAAGCATATTGCAGTTTTTCTTCTCCACAGCCCAGTGAAACAGCTGCAAGCAACAACCAAGCCCGGCTGCACAGGTAAGGAAACAGCTGCAGGCACACAGTGGAGCGGGGGTCACTTCTCACCTCCCAGGACACGATGGAGTTGTTGGCACTGCAGAATGCATTCTGAGCTCATGCAGATGCTACAGTTACATGAACTTGACTGACCTTTGAGCAAGACATAGCACTAGATGGCCTCCACAGATCTCTTCCAACCCAAATTATTCTGTAACTTTGCAATTTTCTGCATAAAGACAGAAAGAGGGCATGCAAATAACTCTTCCTCCCACACCAGCTACTAAGCTATGCTCTCCTATCAAAGGCATCCTCAGACTGCTATCTCTGAGCCAGCACAGTCAATAGAAGTCCAGTGGCAAAGTCCTGACAAGAAGTCAGCTTTGCTACTGGCACAGGGATCAGGACTTCCTGAGCTTTTGGGTCAAATCTCCTGATGCAGCTTGTCAGTCACACTGACAAGCCTAAGATGCAGCCTTAGCAGTCACGCTATCCTCACCCTTGAGCTCTTCTGTAAGTTCAGTTTGAATTCATAAATCATTTCAATATGATCCAAATGCTTTCCAGCAAACGTTACCATTTATTGACTCCAGCCCACCCTGCAGGAAGCAGGCACAGCTGTGTGGCACCAAGACTCTTACTCGGCAGCCACGCTGGTGGATCTGTACCAAGCCCCATGGTACAGAGTCCACACCAGGGCTATTGCCAAACCTCTCCCCAGGTCCAGGGCACTGTCACACTCAGGTAATGGTACCTACACACATAGAAACAAGTACCATGGCTCATGATCAGCTGTGACAAGTGTGATTTGTCTCTTACTTATTACAATTACTTACAGTTTATAGAAAGGGGGGATGCATTAAATCAGCTGTGTTTGGCTCCCCAGCCAGCTTGCAGTGCACTTAAAGAACCTGTGCTTCCTTTGGTGAGCTCTACTTTTGATAAAGCACATTAAGCAATGCTGAATATTACAACACTTTAACTAACTGATTAGTGAATTCTAGGATCAGCCATTTTACAGCTTTGCCTTGAAACAAGGGTAGGCTGGTAGGCTGGAAGACCTAGAGCTCCTTTGCTGTGCATCTTAAGCTTGCCTCTGTAACACCTTTCTCCCAGCATGGCAGAGCTTCCTTTCAAGACCTTTCCCAGTTCCACTGATGCAGAATCCCTTAACCAGCTTTTCTTCAACCATTATTCAGCTCTGATTTCCAAGCATCTAATTTTAGCACTCGCTGTTGAACATCCTCTTGAGTTATTGTTAGAATGAAATGAGGATCATCTGACAGGAACATATCCTTGGTAAATACTGGGAAGGAATGCTTAAGGAGCTAGCACACCTTCCTGCATCATAATTGATAATCCTACTGCCCGGGACACACCTTATTCCCCCACTTTTTGTTCCTGGTACCTTGCATTTCCACAAGCAATTAAAGCACCAGCCTCAACTGCATTAGGCATATTTGGCTGTATAATTTTGCTCAGTTATTGTTTCAATAATCACTTTCAATTAGCCACAGGGATTTATATTTGCTATTTTTAGGATCATTTAAGTTTTAAAGGCACCTGATTACACAGATCTATATTTGCATGACATCTTTCACTGGAGGATTTGTAAGTACTACAAAGAATGAGAATGAATTTCTGCTTGTCTGCAGCAAGATTCCTTTTACAGGCAGAACAACAGGGGCAGTGATTAAAAGACATGTCCAAATTCCCAGAGGAAATTTACACTGACACAGGAACCCCAGCTTCCAGTTGTGTGTGTTAACTATTACACCTGTACTAACACAGAGCGAGGTTGGCCACACAGGCACTAGAGAAGATGCAGACACCATAATTTGAAATGGTTGTCTCTCCTTCCACATTAACAGGTCTGGAGAGAAAGTAAAAAAAAAAAAAAAAAAAAAAAAAAAAAAGGCTTCTTATCAAGTACCAAACAATTGTCCCTTCTCTGCTAATAAGAAGCAATGGGAAAGAATGGCAGGGAAAGGTGTGGATTTTCTGAGAGGTCAGAATAGGAACAGATGGGGCTGGGATTTTGCCAGTGTGACTTGCCAAGGCCCTTTATCACTGCTAAGAAGATCCAATCTCCCAGCTCGTTCTTCACACCAGCTTCTCTTCTTTGCATTTTACCTGCCAAGGCAATGCACCAGTGAAATTCATCCAGATGTGCTGAAAAACAAACAACACAGGGGAGCCAGCAGACTGGTGTTTCTCTCTTTTATTTAAAAACAGTGCTTCATTACCATTTGCAAAGGGTTAGGAAGGGTTTCCCCCCTTGCTTAGAGTTTATAAAAGCCAGCAACATGATCAATAATTTATACACATGGATAGTAATACAAAAAAAAGGAATAAAAGCTAAAGATCTAACTACTCCAACCTTCACAATTCCAGCTACTTGATAATAATAGGAGTAACCCAATGAATACTGTATGGTCTGAAAGCTACTATACAATATGATACTTAACGAGGGAGGGCGGGAAGTTAAAGGCTGTCACAAAGCCCTGGGATGCAGATACTGCTTCTCCAGAGTCAGCAGGGAAATGGGACCCTGGGCAAGCGGCTCGGGCGTCCTAGGAAGTGATCCAGGGGAAGGGAACGCATCCCACTCGGGACACGTCCTGTTCCCCGGCGGTACCTGGAATGGGAGGTGCTGGGGAGACTGCAAGAAGGGGCAAGTCTGTTGCTGCCATTGGAGGTGCTGTGGCATCTCAGCCTCGCACTGAAAATCTCCAAGTCTCAAAGAGATCAGCCTGTGAGGTCAGTAAAATACTCCACCAGCTCTGTATCACTCTTTAGCCCTGGTTCTCATTTGCTATCAGCCCCAGGTTTTAGCTCCAGCTATTTACAAGCAGGATTTATCATTAAAAAAAAAAAAAACAAACCAAAACCAAAACACAAACCAAAAACCAAACAAAGCCTAACAAAAACCCCAAACAAACAAAAAAAAACCCCAAGAAAACAAAACCAAATCATATCCCCTAGGGTAAAAGAGGATGATTTTGTCACTTGATAATGCAGCCAAATTGAGCTGCCAAAACTACAACACTCACACACGCAAAATACTGTGAACAGAAAAAAATAGAAAAATATGACCAGAACTGAGACTCCTAATGTGGGAGGCCTGATTTCTGTAAGGAATTTACTCCTCAGGAAAGCAACAAGCCCCTCCACCAGCAGAGAACTGGGAATCTGGCAAAAGATTTATTGACCCACTTCAGAACATCAACAAAAATTTAAAAAGAAAAGACATTCCTAAGATTAACAGGCATTTTGCTGACTCTGATCGCCAGCCAAATGAGTATCTCGGTGGACGGCTTTAGACACCAGCAATCTCCTGGTGAAATCAGGCAAGGTTTTTGGCTGATGCATTCCTGCTCTACCACAAGTTGAGAGGCAGCATGGGAAGCTGGTCACCTGCACAAGCCTGGGCCAGCTGCAGCCCGTGAACCCAGCAGAACAACCACGGGCAGCACTGGCAGCCCCAGCAAGAAGCTGTTTTCCAGGGTCAGCAGTGGCAACAGAGACGGGACTTTGGCCATCCCGAGTCCCGTTTAGGCTGCTATTGATGCGGGCACTGCAGAGGAAAGGGGGTTCTCCTGACAACTCCTGGCTGGAGCAAAGCAGACCAGGCAGAAACCCCACAGCCTACTTGCAAAGGGCCCCATTTCAACACTCTGGCTTTCAGACTCCTGCTTGCCTTGTTGACTGGAGTTTTCATTGTAGAAGAGAAGTTTACTGGGGTTGGAGGGTGGAGAGGGCAATCAGTAAGGTGGGGATGGAGGGAACAGGCTTTTCAGACATTAACATCACCAAAAATAGTGTTTTATGCAACAAAGAATCAAGTCTCACTGGTGTATACTACAAAATGTTTGACATTATCCAAGAGCATGTCAAAAATAAAAACACAAAGAAGTTTACATTGGATGTTCATCTTGTTCACTAGGTTGGTTTTTTTTTCCCCCTCCTATTTTAAAACAGTGCAAACAGGTAAAATACTAAAAATCAACCCTCTACACCAAGGACAGCATTCCCCCACCCTGCCAGGCTGGAGGACCACAGGCAGCAGGTCCCCTGCCAGGCTGCCTGTGTGCTTTCCCTTTGGAGCTAGATTCAGCAAAAGCGCTCCCCAGAGGTGTTGTTTCGGTTTCCCTTTATTAAATTCCTAAGTGCTCCCCAAACCTGTTTTCCATTTGCCTCCATCTTCATGGCTAGGATGGGAAGATACAGATAGGGGTGAGCTGGGAAAAAACATGGGTAGAACTGGGAGGCTCTGCTTTGTATTCCCCATTGATAGAGCTCTGGGTGCTGGAATTGAAAGCCCAGCAGCGAGGATCTCTTTTCAGGCAGGGAAATGGCTTCATTAACCATTCCACAACCAGCACTCGAGCCAGCTACTCAGAAAATCCTCCTCAATTCCTGCTGTACACTTCACATCCATGGATCTCAAAACAGGTAAGAACAGGGATAAACTTCAACTTCATTTTAGGGACAGGGAAGCAAAGTCTAAAGTAGTGACATGACTGCCCCACAGGGACCCTTGAGGGGTCACTGACAGAGCCCTGTCTGAAACACTCAGACTCCAGAGCCAGTGCTCCTCGCTGGGCAAGTCTGCTCCCTCTCAGGCACTGGAACAGCCAAGCCATAGCTATCTTTAAACATGGCTTTATCTATCTGAACTCATGACACAGGACCCACCAAACTGCTTAACCTGGGAAAAGCTGGCTACAGTAGGCTCATACTGAGCTCTCCATTGCCTCCAGGTCCTGTCATGGCTTTTCTTAGAAAAGCTAACCCATCTACAACAGTGCAGCCTCCCACACATGGGGACCAGGACAACTAGTTTGCTAATGTGCTGGGCATCAATATAACCTATTCCCAGTAGAGAATATGCAACGCCAGGAGTAGTTACTTTATACCAGCACAATGTAACTGCAAGGAAATACAGACCAGCACATTAAACAAACCAACTCTTTAAACCAAAAGCTCATCTGTATATCATCATGTGCTGGCTGGACCTATTGCAAGACAGCACAAGCAGCTACACTTAAAGATACATTTTTTTTTCTCTGCGTCAAGAGGAATCCCAGAAGCCACCAAACTAGGTGGTGACAAACAGCAAGCTATTTGCCAGGCTGCCTGTGTGGTTTCCCTTAGAAAGCCAAACCCTGCTTTACAAGGGGCTTGTGACTGCAGGCCCATTGCACAGACAAGCACTAGCTGCCATCATTCTAGTGAGCCAGGGCCCAGTTCAATTTATCAAACGTAATTCATTTTGCATAGGGAGATATAGGCTTTGTCCTCACTTCTTCAGAAGATGGATATAGCCACACCTTGGCTACTCCGAAAGCATCTCTAGCCACTTCATAACACATCAGAGTGAAACTGGAGCTGTTGTTTGCCAACAGGGAAGAAAGGCTGAAGAGCTCTCCTGTCACACACAACACTCACTCAAGAAACCTTGCCATGCAAGTTTTTTGGGAGGTCTGGTGCTTTGGACACCTGGAACCAGTGAACTACCTCTGGCCCCCAGCCATGCAAGTGTCCCGGTGTTCCCTCCACAGCTCAGTGCTGAGAGCAGGAAGCCAGGCTATCGGCAAGCTCCCTCAGGGGATCTTGCAGCATTAACTATGGAGCCACAGAGACACTGGCTGCTCAATGCACCAGAGAAGCCCAGCAGGGAGGGACCAGAGCAGGTCAGGCTCGGATACAGGAGGAATGAGGCTGGATGGTCTTAGAACAGGTACTACTTGGAGATCAGGGGACCACGGCCTCCCAAAGGTTCTGTGTTTCTGCACTAAACCCCTTACATTCCTAAATCTACTTGGGCGGGCTGAAGCTGCCATGCATAGACTCTGCCAGGAGGCAGAAATGGGACTGGCCTCCCTCCTACTCCCAGGGAGGCCAAGTGGCAGGGGGGGATTGCAGGTGGCACTGCCAGGGCAGGGGAGGGCACTCAGGGTGGGAGAACCTGGCTTTTGGGGAGCTGCAGTCAGAACCAGCTGAACTGAATGTAGGAGAGGGGCATGGGGGAGCAGCTGCCCCAGCAGGGCTCTGCAGATGCTCCTGGGCTCACAGCCTGAGAACTGCCTGCAGGAAGGGAAGGGACAGCCTTGCTCAGGCCCTCCATCCACAGTGGGGAGAACAAGTCCAGTAGAGAGGCTTTTGCTGCATCCCAGCTCCACATGTCCCCTGGCTGCTCTGCAGTGGAAATAACTGCCCTTGAATATGACTATCTCTACCACAAGTCCTCCCTCTTCTACCCCAGCTCTGGCAGAAACACACTGTCTCCCTCATTTCCTAGATTTTGTGAAAGCCCCAACATCCTGTTCTCCCCCTCCCTATTTTCAAGCTAAAATATTTATATACAAACAACAAAAAAATTGTCATAACAGCAACAAACCAAACTTTGGCTTGGAAAAAAAAAAGTAAAAAACCAACAATAAAACCAGGAAAAAGTGGCCAACAGGCTGGCAGTTTGGTGTCCCCTTTATCTTGCTATTCCTCCAGAAAAATCAATAGCTTCAGGGTCTCTAGCTTAACTAATGGTGTCCCCATTCTTCCCATTTGAGGTGCCTCCATTCTGCTGTGCAAAGAGAGGCTCCATGTATCACTGGGGAAGAGCAAAAAATGTGTGGTTGTGTGTGGCTGGACCAGGACACTCCCCCAAGAGTGGGACTTCTGCTTGCTGATGTTGCTTAGTGTTAAATGCATGAATTTTCCTATTCTTCTGAGGGCAGTGGCTCACCCCAGCACCAATCCATGCAGTCGAGGCAGCCTGGTACAATTACACTTCTGCATCTTTCCAGCATGCAATTAGAGCCTGCCTCTGACCACTGGGATTACTGGGAGCACTCTAGGAGCCAGCAGCCGAACAGGGAGGTCTGGAGAGCAGCAACTCTGCATCACATCACAGCTAACAGTCATCTGAGTGTGCTGTCTTTGAAACACAGCGAATTCTCTGTCTACGAGAGCAGAAGAGAGATGGTCCTGGGAGTCGTGGACCCCTCAGCTAAATAGTTTCTATCCTTCCAAGTCTTCTAATATGTAGTGTCTATATGGACTCAGCAGACCAGGTGCACAACTTTCTGTGAGAAGCTGGGCAAAACAAACCCAGGGGCTCCCATGCAGCTATAGAAGGGCCTGAAATAGCTTGTGGTTAAGAAGTTCCTATGAATTCAAAGCTTGCACAAACTGCTTCTGCCAGATACAAAACTACTTCAGGATCACATTTGATATAAAAGATGCTCTTCCCCCATACAAAGCCACATGCTCGTCCCTCACCTCGAGCAGCTTAAGCGTGGCTGGCTTTTCCTCACTCACGTTATTTGAAATAGATTACTTGCAGAAGCACCTAAGAGCCCAGGATGAACAGGAGCAGAGCCCCTGCATGCTGGGCCTCAGAGTGTGTGCCACGCTCAACTCTTCTGCTCACCTTCTTCCTCTGCAAGGCTGCAGGTCCTTCACCTCCCCAAGTTTAATCACTCGCTGTCCACAACAGAGGTACCCTGCGTGATCCTGCACTGCATCTGCCACTCCTCATGGAATGAAGGGGTGGAAAGAGACAGCAAGAGAGAAAGATCTTCAAAAGGAGGAATGAAATGACAATTACAGCCACCTGCAGCAGACAAAAATCTGCGAGTAAAAGTTCTGTGTGTGGGGAAAAGATCATCCTCATCAAAAACTCCTTTCAAAGTCTTGTCCCCTATAGAGCAGGTAACAGCTGAAGTCTTTGGGCAGGTTGAGAGACACTTCTTTTGCGAAGTCTAAAGTTCTGACACTGCTGAAACTGTCACAAACCTGTGCGCATCAAATGGTGATAGAAACAAAGAAAGTCTCTCCATTTCCCCATTTCCAAAGGTAAATTACTATTTCCCACCAGCATTCAGGTCCCAGACACAGTCAAAGAGTGCTTCCTTCTGCAGACCAGAAACACAGCAGGTGGAGACTTCTCCCTCACGTCCTCCTGTCTCACAGGCACCAAGCACCAGACCCAGGGAAGTAACTCTGTCTGCGTGTTCCTGATTAATTGCATGATATCAGTTTCTAACAGCTTTCCTTATCGCTAGTTGCCTTTTCCGTGATTGGTAGGATAAGCTATGCACCAACATACAGACACGGAAATGCATTATTTTTACCACAGTTAAAAAAACCCCAAAAATTAAAACAAAAAACAAACAAACAAAAAAAAAAGCACAATCTTTGGAACAAAAGAATTAAAGGCAGAAATTTAAAGAAAAAAAAAATACATATTCGAAGAACATAGTGAGGTATAAAAAAGTATTTTCTCTTTTGTTTTTTTGTTTTTCCTCCTCGACTTGCTATAGAGTTCCTCTACTAGTAAATATTGCAATAGCCAGGCCTCATGAACTGGGGGGGCTGTCCCACTTGCAGGGGTTTCACGTCACTTCAGTAGGGGGCAAATCGGCTGTAGCCACCTCGGTATAAACTCGCCTGTAAAAATGAAATGGGAGAAGACGACATTGTTAGGAGGAGAACTGTGAAGAGATACCCAGGACAGCACCCAAATGCTTCTGGAAGGACCTGTCCTGGCACTGACCCACCACCATCAGCACCTCTAAGAAGCAAGAGAGAACTCTGCCTGCAAAACCAAAGATGTGGCTCAGGAGGGCATGCTCATGGCCAGCCAGCTGAAGGTGAAGTTTGGCAAGTCTTGGTGGAAGGGAATTCAGTACCAGAGAGGGGACTCACCAGTCCTAATCTCAAGCCAGTTGTCCAGGCTGCCTTTAGAGACTGCGGAGACCAGGACTTCTAGGATGCTCTTCACCTCACCTCAAGGTAAAGGTCTAAAATAGATATGATGACTGGGTATCCTAGAATTACCTGTTTTTCCCTCATCGACCCTAAAGAGAATCCACATGATGAGCTGAGGCTGAAATGGAGGTGCCACACTGCAGATATCTATTTTTAGGTGTCTTTTTCTCTGAGCACATTTGTATTCCAGCCTTTGCAACAACATAGATACTGCACTGGCTAGCAGATGGGCAAGCATGTGTTTTCAGCAAGCTGCTCCACTCCCCTCTGATGCCAGCATACCTCATCCTGCCCTTGTGTAACTACTGCTGGCAGGCAGGACACCGTATCCTTCCATTAGTGCAATAGGGAACCAAGCGAAGCAGCTTTGCTGCAAGATGTCACAAGAACAACTTATTCCCTTGCTTCCTAGAACTGAAAATGGAAAAAAAAGTATATCCTGAATCTCCAACTATTGTTGATTTTTGCCTTATGTATCATCTTGATACAGTTCCACTGATTCACCAACAGTGTTCTGGCTCCTGGCAGTTCTGTTTGCTATAAATTTTCATTTTTCATTGTACTAGATGATGTGCAAGACCGAGTAGTAACTGGTCTCCTACAGCCTGGATCCTTTCTTAGTGCATGCAGACATGAGTGCGGAACAACTGGGAACCCAGCACTGCTGCTAAGGACCTCCTCCCTCAACACAGAAATTTTTCTGGGTGGGTGAGGTTTCATTGCATGATACCCAGTGGCTGTTCCCCATCCTGGAAATGAGAAACAGCACAAGAAAGAAAATCCCACTTACCACAGCGCCAACTCCGTAGCTAGCGGCAGGGGCAAGGGCATGGTAAGGATCTGCTGTGTACACCCTGCCATAACTGAAGAGAGGGAGAAAAGATATAAAAAGAAAAAAAAAAGTCACTTGGGAGGAGCAGAGTAATAGCTGTCTGACCACAGGTAATGGAAGCAGCAGCATGCCCTTGCACACACATGTATGCATCCATGCACACACAGGCACGCAAGGCAGCTCCTCTGCAGAGATCCTATGAGCATGCTGCCATGCATTGTATGAGATGGGCGAGAGAACAGCCTGCCAGGAGCAACGTGGCACAGGCCATGAGCCTGACCTGCAGGAAAGAGGTCAGCACCTTTGAAATGTCAACTAATGCAGCCCTTACCTTTGGGTAATTGTGTGATGCAATTAGGGAGGAGAGTGACTGCTGGTACTAGTGCTACTGGCACAGTAACAGCTGCTAAATGGAAAGCAGTGAGGGATTCTCTACTGTGAGAGGAGTATAAACTTTAATGTGCTAGAATTAAAACACGGCCTCACTGCACAGGCAATGAAAAATCTTAAGGCAAGCACTCTGATGAAGACAATCCTTTGTATCTATTCAGAGCTGCATGTTAAAGCATCCTAGAGCACTGCAGGAGCTGAGTCATTTTAACTTTATAATGGGGAGAGAAACGCACCCAAGGGATTCAGTAACCTCCCCAAAGTCAGATCTCTGACTCTCAGGCTGTAACCACACTGCTTGCTTTGTGCAAAGGAGAATCACAAGGATAGGGAAGAGGCCAGGATTTGTGCCAGCTCACATACACTGAGGGCAATACTGACCAGGAGCAGAGACAAACCGTGCACTCAAGTCTTCCGTGTTGGGTGGTGCATGCATGTGTGCACATGCGAGTGCAGGCCAGACAAAGAAATGGGGGAAAGAAGCAGAAGTTCTGTGATGGATCAATGCTCCTTGAATCCCTGAGCACAGCACGCTAGTACCCATGGACACCTCTCCCTTACATACCCATCGCTGTAAGCTGCTGCAGCGGCTGCAGCGGCTGTGGCTGCTGTTGCAGTAGCAGGCTGTGCATATCTGTAGGCTGCATATCCACCCTGCAGGAGAGAAGAGAACTGACTTTACAGATACCTGTCCACATATGGAGAGCATAAAAAAAAATATTTTAAAAAAGTCACACACATCACAAGGAGAGGAAGTGTTTCAAACTGCATCAGCTCCCATGTCATGTCTATTGCAAGCATCACCCATTAACTCATGTATATTCCTTCCCTGAAAGGGACCAGGGAGGCCCTTCCATTACCCTCTTCAGCAAAAGGCATACACTAAAGGAAGACTGAGTGTTGTTACAACCCTACAGAAAATGTAATTTGGCATGGAGGAAATGGAAACCCAGAAAGACCCAGAATCTTGCATGCAAGGTAATTTTTATGGCCCCTTCCTCTTAAGGAGGGGAAATCAAAGGTGGACACTTTCTATGAAGTATTTTAGAAAGGGAACCGTTCAGAGAAATTTCTACTTTTTTTTTTTTTTTTTATCCTCTCTCTTTTACAGCCAGGAAAACCCAAAGGGCTAGAATTTAAATGGGTCCACATGTGCAAAAGTATCAATAGTCAGAGAAGGTGAAAAGTAACCAGGAAAAAACAGTCCCTGCTGGTTTCAGGGCTGTCAACAAGCAAACCAATATTGAGGCCAGCCAGACTGTTCTCCCCTCCTCTCCATGTAAGTAAACAGGTCAAGAAAATTATGCCAGAACAGTCTGTTCTGCTGCTGTATTTCTGCCCATGCTACACACCTGTAGCAAAGGTGATCAAAGGTAGTTACTAAAAATGTACTTAACAACTGTGTTGTCAAAATGTGAATTCTGACTCAGAGAAGACCTGTGAGTCTCTTCCTGGAACTCCCACAAGGAGCTCTAGGGGCAGAGCAAGGCCTGCAGTACTGGAAGACCAAGGCCAGCCACCTTTCAGATCAGGGACAAAGGTAGCATAGCAGGCAGCAAATAGGGCTTTGAAGCCCTGGTTAGATCTTCATTGTATTTCTGAACACTTTTTTAAACTTGGGGGTGAAGGCTTGGTAAATGAACCATAGTTTTGACTTTCTAGAAACATAATGAGCCATAAAAAACCAGCGGAAAATTCCAGATTGCTTCTGGCTTTTTTTTTTCAAATTGACATTTCAGGGTTTGAAGGACCAGAAGGCAGAATTATGCTCTTCACCTCCAGAGTAGCTCAACATACCTCTACTACTTCTTCCCTATATATCTTTTTCATACATGTAACTAAGAGTACAAGATTAGCTCCACTAATCTTGTGGATTAGTGTGTCTTTGCTCAACAGTACTCAATCCGGACTGTGTCTTTGCTCAACAGTACTCAATCCGGACCTGGCTAGCTTTTAAATTAGATGTAATGATTTAAAATTAATATTGGTTTCTTTAATGTGGCCTACATTAGCCCTGTGAAGGCTGATGTGCTATCCAAAACATGTTTGCAGACCCTTTCCTACTCCAGAAAAAAGGGAGTTGCAGCTTCTTCAATCTTCTAGTTAACAGGAGAAAAAGCAACACAGATGTAAAAAGCAACACCTGTGAAACATCACCACATGGCCTGGAAAAGATGCCATATTACAGTTTAGCCCGTTTAATATCACCTGGCTGTTTCAAATCCTGCATTTTGGATTGACAGTTTGGGGATGTTTAGCTTGGTTTTGCCATGCTATCATTGTGCCATCATGTAAAACATGACAGAGGCCAGAGGAATGAGGTGCAGTCTTAATCCAAATCCAACCTTAACCTCACCAAATTAAGACAAAAGTTTGTATCAATGTTAGGCTATATGCTTCCTGAACCCTTGGTTTGTCGCTTGGGCACAGTGTAGGAGGCATTTTCTCCAGGCACTACCCTCCGCAGGGCAGCTGGCCTTAGCAGGCACCCTTGATTCCCACTCTGCCCCACACTTCCACACCTGCCAGTCACATTTCAGACCAGAAGCTGCTTCAAACATGACTGGCACATACTCTGAACATGAGAGCAAGATGCAGTTTGAAACCAAAAAGGCTTATCATATAATTGTCTTTTAACTCATGTCTCATAAAGGAAAACGAAACAGAACAAAACCAAACAAAATAAAAACCCAAAAAAACAAAAAGAAAAACGAAAATAAAGAAGAAAGAAGGGTTGGAATCAGGTGTGGGAGGGGGAATGGAGTAACATTTATTAATCAAAATTAAAAACTAAGCATGCTGACATCTGGAGCTAGAACAACCAGCAAAGTCACCACGTTCAGACTCATATTGGCTAGTTCTATCCATCCCAGCATTCTCTTGGGACAGCAGTTCGCCCTAGGCTCTACCACAAGCTCAGTGAAGTACACAGCCTCAAGTACTAGAGCGTGCAGCCACAACAACCTGCTATTACGGAAACAGTCAGTCACCACTGGAGTTAACATTCCAACCTTAACGACTCCCGCAGCACCGCCCTCGCCCCCCGGAATGGCTCCCACCCTAGCCCTGTCCCACACCACAATGTTAATAATTATAACAAGCAATAACCCATCTGTTATATCAGAGAAGGGAACAGAGACTCCACTGAGAGATTTAGAGCGGGATGTTAACATTTCTTCAGTCAACTGCACAACAAACAAAAAAAAAACAAAAACAAAACAAAAAAAACAGGAGAAATAATTCATTGGAGAAATGAAGTTAAGAAATAGCTGACGTGTATTGCTTTTTAACCATGCACTGATGCAAAATTGAAGCTACTGGTTATTTAAAAAAGGAAAAAAAAAATCTCGGGATAGAGGTACACACATACAGGCAGACCTGCTCATTTCAAAGCAATCTGCAAAGTCTATTTATGTGTATTTCAAATAAAACCAAAAATGGGGATCATAATGGCCATGGTGCATTCCTGTCATAGGAGCAATGAGTGTGGACAGCTGGAAGATTTCTGAGACAGGGATGTATTTAGCATGACCAGCAGGTCCAAATATACCAAAATAGGGCGAAAGAAAGAGGAAGAACTGTTGAAACTATACTTTGCTTTTACATAAATCCTTTCACCAAGCTCTGGGACCGTACAGAGCAAGCACTGTACAGGTTGCCTTACCCAGCTGATGCTCCTGTTCTCCATAACCCAGGATACACCTATATAATTCAATAAAAGCATCTAAAGTCTGTTCAGCTTGTCCAATGCACCAGATATTTTCTCCTGCTATTCCTGTTCACACAAAACTTGTAACTGATGTGCAGAGCTCATCTGCAAGGTCCTAGGGCCCCCAGTGACTTCTGGTGCCACCCGCTTCAGGTACTCCAGTTAATAAAAATGATAACAGCATAGAGCATCTGCAACCACAGCAACAAAGAGGGGAAAATGTGTTTCCAAATGAAAGAAAGAATTATTAAAAAAAAAAAAAAAAAAAGGAAAGGAAGAAAAAAAGGCCCTTGCCAGCCTCAACACATCCCTTCAGTGCCACAGCCAAACTGCAACAGAAGAAACCACTCAGTGTGGCTTAGTGCCTGAAACTTGGGACAGCCATGCAAACTCCCACTCCACCTATTTGATTCCAAAGGGACATGTTACCCATATAGGTTCTGTTTTTAAAAATCTTTAGTCTCATCTCAAAAGAAGTAAGTGTGGCTGAGCTTCTCGTGAAGATGTTATGTCAGAGATGTTTCTATCAATGGGACAGTTTAATTACTGCCTGCATAAGGGAATGGGAACTAGTGAGAAGGTTTATGCATTTTCACTGGGCATTAAAAACAACCAAAAGGACTGTGCAAATTAAGATTAGCCCTTTTTGGTACAGGCTTTTGGACTGTCTGGGGACCATGTGAGAGAAATGAACACCAGCCTAAATGCTGCTTATCTTGATTCAAGTTCTCTTTCTCTGCCTATCTGGCATTCTAGTCTTGCTGGGGCTAAGCTGGATCCCTTTCCCCATGCAGTGCTTGAGCCTACAGACCTGAGCTGTCCAACAGCTGTATTGCTTGGGTATGAACAAAAGTTCAAATTTAAAATTACTCTTCTCTGATGTTACTGTCCTTGGCTCATCAACAAAGCAATATTTTACTTTAAATTCCTTTTTTAACATTAGATGGCAGCTTTTTCAGTATTGTCTTATATCTTCTGAAATAAGACAAACATGGGAAAACAACATACACAGGAAGCTGCAATCCCAACTAAAGCAGCATTCCAATTACTGAGTATGTTAATGAAAATATATTTGCATTTTATGCAGTTCAGCTCAAGTACATCTTCTCCTCCACTCTTCAAGTCCATACCAGGTGATCACTCCAATGAGAGCAAGAGGAAATCCAAAACTACAGCTTACTATGCCAGTGTGGTATAAATCTCCCTTTTCTTTTTCCCTTCCTGCCTTAAAAGGGCACACAAAGTATGTCACTGCCCTCTTTACTCCACAGAGTCTTTGTGCCCCTAGGACACAAGTATGTCCATAACCCTGAAGAAATATGGAACCCATGGTACCAGTTAGGTACATTTTACTGCTTGCCAGGTTTAGGCAGCAAGGCCAGTTTTAGGGTCTTTTATTTGTCATCTCTCAGATGTGTCTTCTCCACCCCCATAGTTCCATACAACAGAAGTTAAGAAGCAGAAAGGGCTAGAACTGCTTCTGGTATTTCTGTATTAGAAGGGTGGCATACGTGCACCAGGAATGAGCATGAATGAATCAGAAGAGGTGACAGGACAACGGTGTCCATTGCAGCAGGTGCTTCTACATGGTAATGGGACAAGCATGACCTTGTTAACCTTTCCACTGAATTCAAGTTTTGTTGGTTTTTAGTTTTTGGTTGGTTTTGGGTTGTTTTTTTTTTTTATTTTGAGTGAAATGCCACTTGGTATGAAATCTGGACACACGCCACCCTGCTACAGCGGGGGCTTGGCTCACACGTGAGTCTGCGCTGCTCTAAAAAAGCCTCTGTTCCCATCTCTAATGTGGTGCTGGAATGGTTAGTATAATTCAGTTTTTTCCACTGCAATCCACAATCTGATTGGTTGGCAGGTCACACTGGCACTCCTACCTGAGGTATTTTAGCGCTAATGATTGGTTCCTGTAAGACTATTCTATAACAGAACACAGGAAGAGCAGTTCAAAAAAACACAGCTGTGGAAAGAAACAATCATACAAACAGCCCACAGCGGGGCTCACCAGCCTTTTCTTTCCAGTGGATGCAAGCACGCTTTTCACAGGCAGGAGCAGTCTTCGCACAGTGGGTTTGTTTGGGTTTCCCCCCCCACCACCCAGATTGACCCCATTGTAGAAGAAAGATAACCTTTCTTATGATCCGAAATGAAGCCCTCTGCATCCTGGGGCAGGTTGTTTTATCAATTCAGGTGTCTTGCCAGAGTGGGACGCATCCAACAACAGATGGAATGCCTTCTTCACAGAAGAAATGGCTAGCAGGATGGTTGCCCCAGGAAAGAAAAAAGGAGTGAGGAAAAGGAGGAGGAGGAAAATGAGAAATCGGTGCATAGCAGATATGCAGAAAAAGCAGCCCAAACTCGGGACACTTCCCTTTCATCTTGCCTACCATTAACCACTTCCTACCAGCTCAGCTCCTTTCCACAACCCTATGGACTCAGAAGTCTTAAGAGAACCTCGATTTAACTTCCCCCCAGTACTAACTGAAGTATCCTATGCCATACCTTCCAGAATCTGGGTAAACCTATTACAGCAACCAGAGGGATGGAAGCACTGCAGTGAAAAGCACAAATCAGTGAGACACAGGGACACTGAAGTCATTCCACCTGTGCCAAGCAAATTGTTTGGATGGGCAGCTTCAAGTTTGGATAATGATAACTTTTTCCTGAGCTCCATTGGAGGGCTCTGGCCAGCAATAACATAGGAAAAAATACCACCATCTACTTTGATGCAGTCCTCTCTTCCATCATCCTCCTTTCTGACAGTGACACCACTGCCACCAACAGTGAAGTCATCAGAAATCAACCAAATGGTTTTAAGCTGACCTGGGGGCTTGCCTTTGTGTTACACTGGTGGTACTGCTCTGCAGCATCAAGTGGTTACAGGTGTTCTTCAGTGCTGAAGTTTCTCTCCTTACATGTTGTATAAGCCTCTCCTCCCCAACAAAAGCTCTGAAGGAGCTTTCTCAAAAACAGGGAGTAACCCTGTCCAGACTTCCCTTTCAACATGGCAGCCTTTTATATGCCACACTTGGTGGGAAGAGGCACTAAGTACCGCTCATTTTCTTGGTTACGTGCCATAGCAAAGTCAGTGTCTGTAAAGGTAGTATTTTAAGAGTGAGGCAGGAAAACACAGAACCTTCTGCAGTCCTTGACACAGCTTTATCAAGAAACACTTGACTAGGCAGATCAATCTTTAAAGGACTGCACACACGACAGTATATGGAAGAGTGAAGAAATGCATGCAGTTCCCTCTATCTCAGAGAGCACATCTTCCAACTGCTGTACCTGGGCTGGAAAAAGCCCCTGTCCAGAACTTGATCCTCCATATAAGCCAACAAAATCCAAAAGCTAGTTCCATCCATTATCCTGAGGCTAACCCCGCGGTCCTCTTTATAAATGTCAGGAATAGGACCTTCAAAGGAGCAGGACTGTGAAATTTGTGCTGACAGTTCTGCCACTACCCAAACTTTACAGAACTTCCCAGCTCTAGAGAGCTATGACCTACAATGCCGCAACTGGGAACTCTGATAAAGCCAGGCAGGCTATGAGTTACAGTGGCAACTGAACATTTTGGCTTTGAAAGGCAAGTTCCTACCATATTCCTGCTCTGCAACAGCTCTCCCTTGGAGAGGAAAGTACTCTTCTCACTGGACAGTTCAAATACCTCCATCCACAGCCCACCTGTGTACACACAGACTCCCTGGAGATTTGCAATACAGGCTCACTGGGTAGGACAAAGACAATGACAGGACAAAGTCTCCCGTGGTATAACAGCTAATTCCCAAACAGGAGAAGGCTGCTGACTCTTGTAACCAAACATATCCACATATTTGTACTTTACAATTCCCTGCAGAGGGGAAAGAACCTAGCCTATTTAGGTGCCATTCCTACCAGCAAAATGAGATGTCAGTTTTCACTCTAGCATCTCAGCCTCCATTTTTAATCAGTCCCAGTGTCTTCCCCAAAGGGATAATCTCCACATCCCAGTGGCACATGAAAATTTTTAAACATACAACTTGTTCAGTGTAGTGTGGGCTACACAAATCAAACCTGAAAGGGCCCCAAGAGGGAAGAGAAAGGGGAGGGAAGAAGGGGAGAAGGAAAGGGAAGGTCTGAGGCTAAACCAGTCCTGTTATTTTTATATCCAAATTATGTAAATGAGAGAAGTGTTGAGAGAAATTTTAATTTGCTAATCATCTCTCAGGTTGATTAGTACCAGTATGCATGTGGGGGACAGGACACCCAATAAACTGACCCTGGCAATGATCAGGAAACCCAAAGGCTTAGGTCTTGCACCCAGGGGCAAGCGCAGTGACAGAGAAGCATGCTTGCATTCCTAAATATATAAATATATATAACCACAAGGAAGAAGAAAATTAAAGTAAATGATATTTAAAAAACCAAACCAAACAAACAAACCAAAAGAAAAAGAAAAGAAAACAAAAAAAGGCTGGCTTGTCAGGGGTTGGGGACAAAGAAGGCTCCGGTGTGTGTACTTACATAGAGGTCAGCACCGTAAAATCCGTCCTGGTAAACCACACTGCAGAAAATCCACACAAAAACAAAACAAAAAAAAACAACAAACAAAACAAAACAAAAAAAAACAAACAAAAAAACAAAAGAACAGAAAACACATTCCGGTTATTGAGGACGGCAGCATGCACATGCGTTTTACACAGGCAGGTGATGTATGAATCCACAACCTGGGCTTTTGGCAGGAGCAAATCAGCAAGAGAACATGTGTGCGCACGCACGGCTCCAAGTCATCTTCCATGGCATGCAAAGGGGGAAGGGGTGGGCAGAGGGGGAGACAGTATGCAAAGGAGAGACGGAGGGGAACCACCATCTTGTACAGTAAATATTGGCTCAAAAAGATCTGACGTCCTGAAGAGAGACACAAGGGTTTAGAAACCTCCACTCTGGTTATTCTCCTGGAATGATTTTAGTTACCCCCTAAAACACATGGAAACATTGGCTTTATGAAGTGGGCTTGTGAAATTGAGGAGCCCTCCACAGAAGGCATCCCACAGGGGCTGGAGTCACCTTTGTCAGGAAGTGTGGTTCAGAGATTTGTGCCTGATTACATTTTTCAGGCTTCACAGGGCTGCATGACTTTTGTTTCTGACATCCATACATCACCTGCTTTTACCCTGCACATTAGACATGCGATAAGATTTGGCTGATCACACAAGCATGCAAAGTATTATTATTCAGCATCTTAAAGAACTGATGCAACACCTCAGGAAAACAAGTCAATCAATTCTGATCAAAGTAAACACAGAGAAATGTAATTGAAAAGAAAAAACCAAAAATACCCACAATGCATTGCTTTCACAAGCAGAGATAATGAGCTAAAAAGGTTAGGTGACTGGTCCAAGATCCGAAAATTGAAAGGTGCAGTGGGAGTCCCTGGTAGTAATGACTTATTCCATAGCAGAGAGGAGCAACTGGAAGGGTTTCCATGGGATGGTGCTTTTTTCTGCTTTAAGCCATAGTTTTGTTTCTCTCAGAACTTCAAGCACAAAAACTGTTAAACAGAGCCTGGGGTTCCCAAATAGCTGCTCTTAGAGCATTCACTAGCATAAGACTACACAGCTCACTCTGGGGACAGGGGTTGGGGAAGGATGAGGAAGGAAGAGAGGGGATGCCCCCCACCCATTTGAGTTCAGCGTGTGCTTCACATACTGAGGAATTTCCTTCAGTTTTGTCCTCTGAAGAGCTCCACACAAACTCACTCAAGGCTTTAAAAAGCATTAACCCCACCATCTGTGATGTTCATGGATATGATATGTATGACTTACCCATAGCATTAAGGAAAAAGAAGGTATGGAACACTAGCTATTCTTTTGACTATCATTTTTTACTCATCAGATGGAATGTGAAATGCTGCCAAGAGCCTGCCATCCTCGGACACCCATCTATTGTAAGGCACACACACACAAAAAAAGCCCAGCAGATCTTGGCAAAATTCTGCATGCTATTACTAAAAAAATAAAACAAAAAAAAAATCTTGCAGTGTTAGCTACTGCTTGAATAATTTAGTCTTGCTGCCTTCTCCAGGAAAAGTACACTCCATTCCCAATGGATAAAGTTACTGTAGTCTCCAAGAGCGCTGGGAGCAGGTATGAAGATAGAGACCCTTGTTAGAGGAAGAGGGGAGCCACTTCAGCAGGGAGAAGCAGGCCATAAGATCATGTTTGTTGAAGCTAAATTTTTACAACCACATAACAAAGAGTTTGGCTCCTGGGGCAGTGACTTACATTGCTGGGTTCTCTATCTAGGACCAGGAGTGTTTTAGCAGTGATACTTCCACCTGCTCCTGCAGGAAAGGCAAACGCACGACAGAGGAAGTGACTTGGTTTATGAACAGGTTAGCAGTTTTAACAGTTATTCCAAACACAATCAGTTGGATGAACATAAGCATTACCACATTGGATCAGGCCACTATTTCTATCAGCAAGAGACGCTAGCCTCAGCTCTCCAGAGAAAACTGCAAGGAACACTAATAACAGGTAAGAATAAGACTACCTGGATCCAAACACCCGAACACACACATGAATCCTCCATCTCTGCTTTTGTTCGGATTTGACTGACATCAACTTCAAGGGCTGAAATTTAGCAAGGCTTATTTATATGGTAGAATATCCATGTTTGTGATTCTTAATGCCAGCAAAAACAGAGAATTCCTTTATCTGGGAACTACATTCTGATTATGTAGCTTGACCAGAAGTATAAAACAGTCTGGCAGCCAGTCAAATCTTGGTGCAATCTGTAAAAAGCCTACTAGCTGTGCTAAAACACATCTAAGGAAAAAAGAAACAGGCTGGTTTTGCAAAGTAGCCAGCATATCATTTAGGTGCACCAACAGCTGACTGTGTTGGAAAAGGAACAAAAAAAACCACTTTAAACCCTCAAAGCTCTCTGCTGCCCTGTATCTAGTCTTTTATCCACTAAGCCTTCAAATCAGTGAATCTCATATATATTTACATTCCTGGACGAAATTAGTCTTTACTATGGCAAGTCTATTCCTCATATAGGTAGTTAATGACCATGCAGAAGTCAATGACTAACCTATAGTTTGAGAAATAAAATTTATCAAGCTTATTTAACTTTGAGAGTTTTACAGTAGGTGAGTTTTTTTTTCAGACTGTCTAGATTCTTACAGCTTTTGGTTTGAAGTGTTATTTGTTAGCATTCTCATTTAATAAGCATGGCTGTTACAAATCAGGGCAATATTCCAGTACAGTTTTTACTTGTGCTTTATATCAGAGGTTATAATGTCTCCTTATTTCTACCAAGTGGCACCTCAGTTAACACTGAAGGTTTCATTAGTGTTCAATGTCAGGTTTAGGTGACTATCTAACTCACCTACAATAGTCTAAGCAGTTGTCTTCTGAGGTATCAAAACCCTTCTCTGGATAAACAACCATGGCCATGCATAAGTATGGGCATTCCCACATATGCATTAGCAAATCTTGAGTTCTTGAAATAAATATTAAAACTATTAAAAGCTATGATTTCTTGCACCTTCCTCTGGTTTAGCATTTGACACTGTCAAAACTTACTCTAACCTGGATGGTGCTCAGGTCTGATCCAGTATGGCAATACCAACAAGTTTTTATTAATCTACATTCTGTATTTTTAAAATTCTGCTAAGCTCTCAAATGCAGTGATACCATTAAGTTTTGTAACTTAAATACCACTAAGGTTTGCGAAAACCAATTCCTTCTAACAGGTTTGAGTTAACCTGAAGCTTTACTTTACTGTCTTCTTACACATTACTCACTATGCCTTCATGTTGCTGACTGATCTTATGGTGTCATCTTTCCACTGGCCAGGAAGAAAGTAAACGGTGGAGGACAAGATGGCAGGAACATGTGCCTGTCCCTGACCCCATGGAGGTCAACAGTGCCCACACGGAGTGGTGGCTGTCCTACAGGTTACTGCAACATGGAATTGAAATGCACATTTTGTATTATTCCACTAGGAATCAAATTTGTTCTACCAAGTATCTTGCAGAGATTCAGACTATGATGACAAAAAACACCAGTAGTAGTTAATTACATCCCAGTGCTTGGGACTAGGGACAGTTCTGTGCCTCTGTGAATCTGCCTTGCTTACTGGTGCCCTGGAAATGTTTACCAGGTAGTATGCTGCCCATGAAGACATGGGATCAGTCAGCAGGGTCAGAAAAATTCAGTTTAATACCAGTAAACACAGACATGAGACAGTATTTGGACGAGCTAATCATTGGAGCCTGGCCCATATTTCAAATGAAAATAAACGTTTTACATGGGACTCAGGCTGGATTTACATCAAAGACAAGGCCCTCCCAGTGCCCCATTCCTAACAGCCTCTGGCTAGGAATCCTCTAGCTGTTACTCCCAGGGATGAGAAGCACAATTCCCCTCCCTGGTGCAAATATTTCCTATTCTAATGGATGGTAGCACTTAGCTCAGCTTTGCTGCTTTGTTTAACTGTGGAGCACTCCCCAGTAAAATTGGACTGGGCCATTTTTAGAGCAATGGACAGACAAGTTGCAGGTCAGAGGCTATGCTTAGAGGATAGAGAATGTGAACTAGGAGTGGTGGCAAAAAAGTGGATTTGAAAACCCAGAAGAAACACCCTGTTCAGAAGACCAATGTTTAGACAAGAGGCTTCATTTAAAGTCTTCTGGTGAATTAAATACAAACATTGCCAAAATTGCCAAAAAGCAAAGCTAGACAGATACATGAGCACTGCAGCTTGCTTCCTGGAGCTCCATTTTAAATATCAGACTACACTCTAAAAGGGTCACAGTAGCTCTCATCACTTAATCTGCTACAGAAGCTATTGTGAGCTTATCCAGCATATATCAGGCCAGCTTCCTGTACTGATGTGTATGGATGCCACTTTCTTAATAAAAGATTTATGATTTTTTTTTTCTTCCCTTTTGGGCCTAGTGTAAAGGAAAAGAAGGGTCAGCCCACATCTCTGTGTTGGAGGATTCGTTTCTACTCCTGCTCTTTCTGAGAACTTTGCCTGAAAAATATGGCAAGTAGAACTCGAGACAATATGATTAAAGCGTCCCCAAAATCAGAAACAAAACAAACAAACAAAAAAAGACCGTTTGGAAGGGATTTGCTGATTTATCTGTCATTCCACCACATTTAAACAAACCAACAAAAACCCAAACCAAAACTCACATACAGACCTAGTTCCCTCTACTTTTAAACAGCAGAATACTCCTTTGTAACAACATTTTTTGCACTGCATTACTAGCGAAAATCTGAGGGCAAAGAATGCTAAGGCCACACATTTGCCATTGCTTCTTTGCATTATTGTTCTCTCTACATCCCAAATGCTCCCAGCTTTAAATTAATGGACTTGATTAATCTTTGTTTTAAACCTTTTTAAACTGTCTCCAACAAAGAAAGCAAATCCATTGTGGGTAACTGGCTCTTCTGTGTCCTACTGCCAGATGGTGAGGCATGAAGGTAATGGATAATATTCCTCATTCCTGAATATGGAAACACAAATGGAGTACAAAGAGGAGAACCTTTTCAGGAATTTTAGATCTTCTCTTTGTGTCCTTCTCAGCAGCACTATAACATATTGGGTCAATGGATGACAAATATCATATACAGACAAATTGAGAAATTATGAGAAGGAACTCATCAGCACTTTAAGCTGTTTCAAATACTGAAAATTGTTTCAGTCAAGAACTTAACAGAAAAATTTAGATTTGCCCCCACTGGATGCCATCATGTGCAGTATGCTCTGGCACTAGCAAGATCTTGACTCTCACCATCCAGACAATTTTAGGGTTTTTTGTTAACCGATTAGCTATTTGACACGGTTGTGCAGAGCACTCTGCTCTTGTGACCAGTGCTTACCCTGGGTAGGCAGGGATGGCTGTGGGAGGTACTGCCCGCACTGCCCCATACACAGTCCTTCCTCGGCCCCTCAGATGGGCACCCCGAAATGCGGCGGCTGTGGTGGCTGCTGTTGGATAGGGGAAGCCTGGAACTGTGAAGATAGACAAGGTGGAAGGTGAAAAGGATACAAGCTCTGCCCCAGAGAACAAGCACCTGCTTCAAACAAAGTGACACAACAGCTCCACAGCAGTGGGACATTTGGCATCAATCCTGCGGAAGGACATGCTTATAACCCAGCAAGCATCCCATACGTACTTCCTGCTACACCACGGCCTTTGGGGGGAGAAGGGTTGCAGAGAGGTTTGGCATGCAAGTGGTTAATGTTTTGGCATGCCTTACCCACCCCAACAGGGCTCAAATCCCCCCACCCTTCGATACTGCCATGCAGTCTGGTTAGAGTCCGAGAAGCATGGGGAGTTACTATCAATACAGCACGCAGTTCTTCCAAAACTGCAGAGGCTCTTTAAAATAATTCGTCAAGAGGCCCTTAAAGTCAACCAACTTACATCAGTCTCTTCCCTCCTTTCCCCTCCCACTCTTTGCCACCCAATCCTCTGTATGTTCATTTTAAAGCCTGAAAGACAAGATAGCCCATATAACAGCAGCAGCAATTTCCCATAAAGTGCCAGTTTACTGAGAGCCCACCTTCATTTAACAAGTGTGACCAATAACTAGCACCACATATAGTGATGCCTCTATTATTATGTTCAAACTGAAGTAAACTGGCTCGCGATGAAACTTTGTAAAACCTCAGAGGCATTTGCAAACACGTCATAAACAGATACTGAGAGGGAATGAGTCCCAGGGCACAAACCCAATCCAGCATGCATCCAGGTGCATGCCACTAGGGGCCCTGCAGACCCGTGGTTCAGCAGCTTGTATAATATGTACTTTAGGGATTTGTCCGTCTGGTTTCTTTGATTTCAATGCAGGGAGGGGAGCAAGGGAATGGCCTATTCCTCACACACACCCTCCCCCTGTTCTGCAGCCTCCTTGTCATTCAGAAGGACCCATTCAGCAGTACAGCAAGACAGTGCAGATGAAGTTACAGAAACTGCACACTAACTTTGGCTCAAGGTAAACTCATTCCCAGTGAGACCCATCCTTTCAAGTATATATTATACAGACTGGAGAGAAGAAGGGTAACTGGTCATCATTAACTCAAGCACAGTAACAGTACAGGGGCCATCGGGGGCTACTTACTGATTAAAGGAATGTAAGTGTTAATACCCCCCCTTCCTGACAGGGGCACTGCAGCGTCATTGCCCAGCGAGACATCTGCTTGAAAGCTGGACGCTAATTAAATTTAAAAAAGAATAAAAAACAAAAACAAAACAATAAAAAGGTTATAAAGAAACAGCAGATTAAGAACATAAACAAACATCACTGCAGTTAAATGGCAGAAGTGGAAGTCTACTTAAGCTCTACCTGCATATAACTCAGGGCCGTACACCGCTCCAACCACAGGACTCAACTTCCAACCTGAAACAACAAAGACTGCAGTGAATGCCAAAATCTACACCAAGAGAAGGAACGGGCAGCATGGGTAGGGGGAATGGTCTCTTGCATGCGCCCCAGCTTCACATGCACAGCTCTTTCCGATTTCTGCTTCGCCTCAATCCCCCTTGGTGTAGATGGAGGCCAACTGCTCTTTCCTAACGTCAAGTTCTAGGTCCAGGTCGCTGTATCGGTGGGAACAGCAAAACATCAGCTGATCCGCAGCGGGCAGAGGCGCTGCTGTGGGAATGCCAACTACCTTATATGCATATTTGCCATGAGCACCATGCGACCTGGCATTCCCTGCAGGAGCCTGGCTGCCAGCTCCTCCCTACTTTCACAGGGAACACTGGAGATACAAGCCCTCTCTAAAGCCACCGGCCCAGACTGTCATCTCAGGCAAGTCAAATTATAGCCTTGAATTCTCAAAACACCCTTCTGTCTTGCCTGCTAGAGATGTGCTAAAACGCAACAGCGTCTGAATTTCTTCATTAACTGCATTATGCAACTATAGTTCATAAAACCAAACCATTCTATTCATCTCACACTTTCTCCTCACTGTTATTTTAGTATTTCTCTCCTTCTTTATGCTGCTGTTGAGGTGAAAGCCTTCACAAAGAAATTATTTCAATATAATCTGGATAATTGGCAAGAACTGCAAATCATCAAGATAAAACCTACAAGAGAATAGGGCTTAAAGAAGCATGGCTATGAGTTGGTACATATTTCCAGTCACATCTAGAAACCTATCTGTCTTTTCCCCCTCCATCTCTCTAATGGGGGAGAAAAGAGATATAAAGCTAACAATGTGATCTGGGCTGGCTTTCACAAAGCATTTCTTTCAGGAAAGATCTCAACTGTTCAGCTAGCAAACAAAGAGGCATTTTTATTTAAATAAATCTATACACTTCCTCTGTCTTGGAGCCCCGGTGCACTTGCTGAACTTTTAACACCTCTAAACCACTCTAGAAGCCTTATGAACAACTCTGTGAACTGCAGCCCATCAACACCACCCCTTCACCTGCTGGCAGAGTATCAGTGACAGATGCAGTGCAGGCTCCCTCTGCAAGTACAGGCATACTGCTGCTGCACTGCTCACCCTGATGGCAAAATACTCCAGCGGTGGCAACAAGAGGACTGTCAACTCTTAAATTTAGTAACAGTTGTACAACCATACTTGCCAGTATGTGCCTTAAGCCTGGTCTAATGCTAAATCTCTTTGCATAGCTTTAAAGCTGGCTTTAAACTGCTGGCTGTAAAAGCAAAATATTCTTGTAAAAGTTATCACTTTCACAAGTAAGCTAAGTTTCATTACCAAACAGTCACATGCATGACATTTGTGCCCTTGTTTCCAGGACAATATACCATGGATGCACTGCCTTTTGCTACAAAATCTCCTAGTTCCTCCAAGGTACTGTGAGACCCAGAATCTCAAGCCTTTTGCTTGGCACTGTTTCCCCACCCAGCCCTGCACCCAAGGTAAGATTTACCTGCAAGGGACCACTCAGTAAGTCAGCAGCAGAGCAACATAAAAAAATTTTATCTTCTGAGTTTGGAGTCTTACTTTATAATCAAAACAGATTGCCACACCAGCTACTACCTGTATGCAGCTTCCTGCCTTGATGAAACTGTTTGGGAACATTTTCACACCAAAAAGAACTTTGCTGCTCGTTTCAGGGCAAAGACTCTGATTCAAACTCTTTATCAAAGCAGCATTCAGCTCTGCTGGGAGAATGACTTTTTATGCTATGAAGTAAAATGACTTCACAGAGAACCACCAAGATATCCCAATAAAACAGGATTCCTCACTATCCAAACAACTTGATCTTTCTCTTTTCAGTTCACTGGAAAATTCACTGAACACAGGCAGTCTGAAACAAAAAGCAAGCAAACAAGTAGTGCAAAGGCTCTGTTTTGCTGGTTGCTTGGGGACAGCTGTACTTTTATAGATAGAACCTAAACTGAGCTATCTTAAGTTATTAAGTTAATTACTTAGATTCAGCATCTCAAGTTATGTTTCTGCATTCATATTTAGGTATCTACGTGATGGCAGTGAGACACAGGAGTACTGCACATCCCACCATACAGAATCAGCTTGCAGGAGTAGGGCAGGCAACTCACTGGTCCTTGCACCTTCACCCATCTTAGTCACATGGGGCATTGTCCCTACTTCTCCATCTGGAAAATGGTATTCCTCCACAAACACTTTCGGGTTATACTGAATGGTATAATGATACAAATTAGAGTCTGTGAGGTTTTATTGGTTCCTTTTGGTCCTGAGGAGAGGTCATGAGTTTTTCTCTTTCTTCAAAAGTTTCAGCTTATCACTGGTACAGTCTCTCTTACCATTTGCGTAAGGTGTGACCATCTTCTTATTGGTCATCACTCTCGCAGTGGCATTGTTAACCTAAAAGTAAGAAAGGGGAGGGGGAGGAGAGGGAAGGAAGCACAGATCGTTAGGGAAAATGGTGAACAACTCTCAGATACCACACACACACACACACATACACACTATATTTCTCTTGAGCAAAAAAAAAAAAAAAAATTAAACAGCTAATTCTACATGAATGCAATCTTTAAATTACTTTTAACAGTTGCCATTTAATTATAAAAGTTACAGCTAAACGTGGCATTTTAAAATTATGCATTAAACAAAAGGCCAACAAGAGTAAAGTGCAGATTCTCCACCACCCTGCCATCCCTAGTCACGGGATTATTTACAGCTCAGTGATCAAAAGGGCAAAACCTTAGATGCTTTGTCCAGGTTCTCTTAGAGAGGCAGGAATAATTTCTCAACCCAGGGCCGGGGAATTGAACCAGGTGATGCACAAGCTGACTTGTTTCTCAAGCTCATCGCTGGAATTGGGGCCCAGCAGGTCACTGGCAGAACACTTGGGTAGAAAAAGATAGCCTGGAGTCCCTCAGCATTAGATTTGAACTCCCAAGGCTTGAGGAAATCTCTGGAACATCACCAACTGTTTAGATGATCTACATTCACTGATTTACACCCACCATTTTCAGATCTCTTTCCAGATTTTTTTTTCCTTGTCACTAATCTCATGGGACAGAAAGAACACATAGCAGCAGACCTGGATCATTTTTGGGTTTACTGTGCCCTCCACCCTCTTTACAGAGCTCTGCACAGCTCCAAGTGGTTTGACTGCTCAAGCAAGTGGGGTGTTACCGCAGAGATGGTGCTGATAAAGAAAAGATGGACTAGTTTGGAAGCCAAGTTACTGCAGCCCCGTGTCAGCCTCAAAGCTCTTGCAAGGAGGGTGAAGTCTTTATGGATCATCAATAATTCATCAAAACACATGCCAAATGGGAATGGAGGCCAGGGTGAAGAAGAAAAAAAATGGATACAAAAATAGAAGCTGCCTCAGGCCCTTGAGATGTATGGATGGTGGGCGTACACAGGGTGGGGAGTCCAGAGCTACATTTTACTCCTGTTTCAGACCCAGAACAATAGAAACATTACACATTTAAAAAAGAAAGAATGGGAAACAACAATGATGAGACTGAGAGCATGCAGTTAAACACACACAGATAAAAAAAAGAAAGAAAAAAAACACACCACAATTGATTCAGAGGGTGGGGAGGGGAGGAGTGAGGGGATAGGGTCTCACAGACAATCATTAGATGGAGCAAGTGCCTGAAATCAGCTGCTACAGCAAAGTGCAACACAAGCACTTAAAGGAAAAATTGCCAGAACCAATCAGAAATCACCAGTCAGCAAAGAGACCAACAGCTGCACTTAGTAAAGAAATAAACTGGGGAGGGGGCAAAAAAAAAAAGTGAGAAAAACAGTAACAGCTACAAACAGGTCTCAGATAGAAAGAGCAGCAGAAAGAAGGGGCAGGAGAGAGAGAAGAGGATATGGGTGCATTAATAAAAACCAGCCAAACTGGAGTTCAGTAACTCTGAGTAAGATGTGCAAGGGGAAATCACCATGAAGTCAGTAATCAAACAGCTCAGACTGCTACAAAACAATATGTACATCCAAAGTCCAGGCGGCATTACTCAACAGCATTGAAAATAAAAGGGGGAGAAGGGGAAGGAGGTGGGTGGGGACAACAAGTCAAATCACATTTCGTAGTGTTAATGTGAGATGGCAGATGGATTTTTTCTTTCTTAATTTTTTTGTAATTTTAAGAAAAATTAAAAAAAAAATAAAAAGCTTCTTCTCTAGCACTTTTGTTTCACTTACCGCCAACTCGTACCATCGCCAGCATTGTGTATAGTTACCATGGAAAGAGTGAGTCAAGTGAAGGGCCCTAAACGCTAAACCATCGGAAAGGGAAATAAAAAAACAAAACAAAACAGAAAAAAAAAAAAGGCAAAATATGCAGACATCTTACTCAAAAACGGCGGCTTTTTTGTTTCAATATTTGTACTTTTTGGTTTGTGCTTGTTTTTTTTAAAGAAAGAAGGAGAGAGGGATGATGCCAGTTAGCCTTCAACAAAGTGGAATACCAAACTGGTCAACACCTGACATGCCCAACATATGGCCATGATGGCCAGCCAACATTAACCCTTTCCTCCCTGGTGGTGAGAGCTAGCAAACTTTTAGGATTTGCTTTCACCAAACCTGTTCTTGACCACGGGCAGATCAAGAAACCAGCAATGTACATAGCACAGCCCACTTGGGGCTGCTGCCCCATCTGTCCCCACCCCTCCCACAGGCATCATCTCACACTTGCATGGAGGAGAACTGGCCTCAGAGGAAAGAGAGGATACTGGCTGGCCCCCTGCTTTCTTTTTTGGACACAGTTAGAAGTTGGACAGTACTTTTTCAGTTAGTTTTGTTCAGGCCTGGTAACAGGAAATCAGAGCCTCACAAACTGAAGCAAAGGAAAAATCAAGACAGCAGCAGAAGGGCAAAAACTTGAAGTGGGTGGGAATAAAACTTAATAAAAGAAGAAAAAAAAAAGGAAAAAATAACCAAAACAACAATAAAAATATTCTGTAAAGGGTGTAAACTTCTATACATTTCAGTGCAGGGAGGTGAAGGACACAGACACAAACACACACGCACACACGAGACTGGGATCCAAATGTGAAATAAGTGAGGCAAGACACAAAAAGAAATCAAAAGAATAAATATAAAGAAGAAATTGAATTACTGAAGACATGCACCTCGATTTTACGGCCCTCTACCACGGTGCCGTGTAATTTCTCCCTGGCCCTGTCTGCATCAGCACTATTCTCGAAAGTTACGAACCCGAATCCCTGCATGCAGCGGGAGAAGGGGGGAAAACATGCACATCGTTATATATTGAAATACTGATCTCTAGGTAAATAGAGAAAAAATATCACAGTATGAAATCGACATCAGCACAACTCAGCAATAACCTCCTAGAGTCACATTGTTGGTTCATGCATGTTTCATAAATGAAAGAAATCAAAATCAATAAAAAAAGGAACTGTAATAATAATAAGAATAATAAGAGTAATTAAAAAAAAAAGAAAACATAAAAGCAATTGAGGCCAGACCAAAAAAGAAGTACAAAGTTACTCGAGACAATTTTTCATTTTGGTTTGGTTTTTTTGTTTAAAAACACTAAACCCTGCTCTGACATAGGCAAGCTGGGCAAGCCCAAGTAGGGCTTTTCTCCCCTCTTAATGAACACAAAAATTCTGTAGGACCCCCATCTGTCCCAGACACAGTACAGGACATGGACACTGAGCAGCACTTTGCTCTCTTGAGAAACTACTATGAGAGTGAGCAGCAATCTGAGTTCATGCCTGGCACCAGAATTCTGCAAAGCTTTGGGCAAATCAAACACTGAACCTTGCTTTTCCCACCTGTAGAATGGAGACAGTAATAATTACCTACCTTAGAACACTGTTGAAAGGAAGGGCTCTTTGTAAAGCATCCCTTGTAAGCTCTTCAGGGCACAGCTCATGCCTACTCCTAAGTCTGTAACTTCCCCAATGATATATGGGGCCCTGAAAGTAAGCAAGGCTTCCAGGTGGCACAATAAGCATATTTAATGTGAAGATTTAGAATATCACACACTGTAGTTCCAGAATATTCTTATCTCTGAGTACTGTGGTGGGTTTGACTGTAAATCTAAACACCTATATACTGATTGGTCAAGGCAGGTTTTGTACCACACTGCTGACCCCCTGCTACCTCTCCCTGCTACCACCCATCTTACTCAGCTTTGTTCTGAGATGGCAACCTCTGCGCTGTGGATAACAACAGATCTCTGCCTAGTTAGAATATGAAATTTCCAGAAAAATCCACATGCCCTGCTTGGAGCAACCACAATGGCTCAAGGCCTGCCAAAATGTCACTTTAGTTAGACAAATTCAGGTTTACCACACCCATGAAAAAACAAGCAACACATGCCTGTCCTACACATGCTCATGAAGCCGCCAGCTTATGCAGTGGTATAACAGGGCAGGGTAAGAGACCATGCTTCCTTCCACAGAGCTGAGTGCACTGACATTAAGAGAGAGCCAACATGACAAAATGAATTAGGATTTTAACTAGGAGCAAATGGCATCTTAATACAGACAACTGTGATGAGATACTCTTCATGCCATTAGAGAGATTGGACCCAAACAAAAAGCATTGTTGCATTCTGCTTTCAGGACATTTTAACAACAGCAATAACTGGCTCCTGTGGCTTGGTATAAAGCAAATACTGCTTTAATGTACAGAGAGTAATCTCCACTGGCTCAAGTACCCTCAGGAGCAGAACAACAAAGCTTATATTTGATGCGATGGAAACTCCCTCCCAATGTTAACTGAAGAGTAGGTGATGAGAGTGATCTACAGCTGTGCTTGTCAGGGAAGGGGCATGCTAGCCAGGCAACCTCCTTCATGCACCTTGGGATCAGTATATTTTTGGGTTGGACAGCCCAAAAAACAGATAGCATCTTGATTTCTAAGCTTTGTTAGCAATGAGACACAAGCAAGCCATTATTCTTCAAGTGCTTTTTAAAGGTCTCTACAATACTGATCTTGAACAGCCCAAGCTGTTTAAGTGACAAGCTGGCCCTCATCATCCACAGCTAGGTTTCCAGCACAAAACTGCCACAAATTTGTAAAATGCAGGGTGGTAGTTACTGTTTTTTTGAGGTGGAAGGTTTACTTTTTTTTCCTTCCCCCTGAACAGCAATAATAAAGGGGTTTAGCCAGTACTGCAATGCTGAGATCAACAAAAGTGCTCCTTTGGGCTCCAACCCAATAATCTAAAGCTTCAGATAATTTAATTTCTCCAGCTATAAATAAAGAGCTATATAAATAACAAACTGATGCCTTTTTCAGAACAGCATAGACGTTCCCTGTTTAAATGAATTAAAATCAGAGCTACATGACATAGGGGCTAATAAAACAGCCCAACTGCATATAACTCTCAAATACATTGCAGAGACCTGAGAGGGGTGCAGGGGGTGTAATAGCACAGCCGATTATGAAGGAACAGGGTGCTGTGCCTGCTTTAAAGAGCCCCGACCGAGAAAGGTAAGCCTGAGAAATAGAGCAACACCTTTCCCTCTGGTTCTGTAAAGTGGGGAAAAAACATTCTTTAAAGGTTGGGGGACGAGGCATCAGACTGCAACAGGCATCTCTATTTCCCTCTTCTCTTTTTGCATTAAAATTTCTGTTTGTTCTAGACAAGCCTGTGGAGAACAAACAAAATTTATGTCTTCAGTGATGATGTGAACTGAAAGCTGGAGTGCAGATGGAAAGCAATTCTTTAGACATTAATCTGTGCAGGCTAGAACCAAACTAAGACTATTTTAATTCACATCTGTTTGCAATTAGTAACATCTGTATGGGATTTTTAAAAACTACATTATCATTAAATATCTTTAAACAGAGTAGGAATTTTCAGTATTTTTATTAAGTTAAATCAAGGTAGCATACAATCCCCTTGCAGACTATATTAATATAATTAACAATATGAATTAAACCAGAATTCATCTGATTCAGAACAATATAACTAATTAACCACATTTTACTGACAGATCAGCCCTTAGCTTGTGCAACTCTTTGTTGAGCACCACTTATTGTCAATACTGAATTAATACTTTACATAGTTGACTATGGCAGTTAGTATTTGTGTCCTCTTGGTTTATCATATTAATGCATCTCTTAGACATTCAAATTTTCATCAAGAAAAACAGGTGAGCCACACTTGACATTTTTGTTATTTCTAAGTTTAAAAACTAGCAATTAGATATATATACACACACATTTTTGAAGTGGGAGAGAAAAACAAACATACATATATTTTTTATTCCTTCTCACAGATGACCTGTAAAGAATAGGGATTAATTTGTACCTAAATACAAAAGCAAAAAATAGTTTTCAGTTTTCCCTCAGCAAGGTTGTTTTGACCTTGAAAGAAAAAAATAAGAAACAAAGCAAGAAAAAAAAAGATGGGGCAGGTATCCAATATTTACTACTTTAGCTTTATTGGTACTGGATTGCTCCATAGTAATAGGTATGGAGCCAGAGGAAGGGAAGATCCTGGATGAAAACAATACTTAGGTTTTCTAAAATTTAGATTATACACATTGTTTGAGTTTAATAATGTTGTTATGATAACAAGGCTGAAATTTCAACAATTCCTCCCCACCAGCAACTGCAACAAACTTCTCCCATGCAGAAAATAAGTTTAACCCAGCAAACACTAAACATTTTTAGGAGTGGTGAGAAATTTGCAGTACCAGACTAACCCCTTTTTACCCAAAGGTTTATTGAAAGGACCTGAAGAGACCGAGTAACTGTCACCCTTTTAGTCTGGCCTCAGATTCTGCAATAAATAACAAGCAACATGATGAGCAGTGAAAAAAAATAATAAATGTATATATATATATAGTATTTGAACGTTTCCATCTCTGAAGAATGAGAAAGAAAATTTACCATGTAACCGTAAAGGGAGAAATCAAAACCAGACGGTTCTCCTGGGTGTGGCCAGAACACAGAAATTAAACAAAAACCAACAACAAAAATAAAGTAAAATAAAAAAGAAATAAAACCAAAGAAAACTAAACAGAGCCCCTTGAAATCCATGCATTGTTAACCCTTCGTTCATCATGGAGTTTAGACCAGTCACCTCAGCAGCAGCGTCTTTGCCTTGTACCACTGGAGCACGCAGCCAGCAATCAGTCTTGCTGTCATCTGCTGCTGTGCCTGTTTCTAACCAAGTTTTTTTCTTTTTTTTTTTTTCCCTTATTTCTGTATTAAACTTTTAGAAGCCTGAAAAAAATTGCCAAAGAGGCAGCAGTTTAGGCTACCTGTTTCAAAGGCATTTGGAAAGAGTAGGAGGGTTTCAGCTATAATCCACCTGAGATGAGCAGGACTGAATGCACCGACAGCAACACAGCACAAAACCCAGAAACAAATTATTGAAGTCATACACAGAAATGCACCCTTCAAGTTGGCGAAAACATCTGTGCAAACCAAGCCACCATTTCAGCAGCTCTTCCAGCTCCTCCTGGCCCCCATGCCACACTTTGCATTAAGGCACATACACGTGTCTGTGTACCTGAGCAATCTGGCGATCAGATGCAGAAATTAACCTGACTGAAAAAAAATGTAAATGTATCTTCAAAAAAACATGTAGGGCTATTTTCAAGCTCTATAATTTCCACAATCCATCTTGAGCTGCTCCACTGCCAATCCCTGCTGCAAAGCAGCAGAGGGGGCAGAGGCCAGCAGTGAGGAGCAGGAGCCCAGCCTGCACTGCTGGGCAGCAAGAACCTGGGACTTCAGAGCAGCTCCAGCCAGCTCAGGACAGCGGCTTCACGGCCCTAGTCATCCCCAGGTGTGTGATGCTCCTCCTCCCTTCAGCTGATCCTGGATCTCACTGCGTGGTCTGTGAGTTCAACAGGCTGAACTGGCTGAAGACAAGCTCATTTCTCTCCCCGCTGCATCAGTGTCTTGCTAATTTAGCACCTAGATCCAGCTCCCTACACAGTGAAATGAGCACTGCTGGAAAAGCACTCCCACAGGAGCAGTACATCAGCTTATAGTATGAAACCATAAACTTCAGCCTGAAATTCAAGTTTAAATAAATCAGTTCAGTGTACGGACTAGTTGATCTCTTTAGTTCAGTATTGCAGACTTCAAGGCATGAAAGCACTGAACTAGGATAAAGGGACACTGGTCATGTTTCCTTCATGCCACTGGCATCCTAAAGGGATCTGATGACCTGAGAAAGTGATGCTGGTCACCAGTACTTAATTTGTTTTTAAACCTCATTATACTAATAACATTGTATTTCTGGCTCAACTGATAAAATCTGAACAAAAATTATAAAAATTGAATTAAAATGAAAACAAGACTTCTAATTAATTTATTTTATGTAATAAGGGACTTTCCACTGAGTGGAAACTAGATCCAGAACAAGGGTGGCTCAATTCAAAGCACCTAATCAATTTAAAGAAGAAACAAATACACATGCAAACTTAAAATCTTTAAGGCACCATTATTAAAACCTATTCACATTCTTATCTTAACCTACAGTCAACAGCAAACTTAAAAGTCCACACAGCTTCCACAAAAGTTTTTTGTTAGCATAGGTTTACTTACATAAATCCAAACACCAACAGATGCACTTTCTCTCATAACCCACTATACAACTAATTTTTAAAATAAATATGAAGAACTTCTAGGCACTATAGTCCTATACAAGAACTTGGAGATCTAAGTCTCGCAAGTGGAAATCAGTGAGGGACATAAAACTTACAGCATCCTGAAACCATGAGCCCCTCTGCACAAATATGAACTCTTACCATTTAAAAACTAAAAAAAAACCCAAAACAAACAAACAAACAAAAAAACCCACTCCCTATTTAGCTAAGATTTTGCTGTGTGCTTATGTACTCCTGGTCTCTGAATGTCATCGAGGGCACATCTTGGAATGCCACATGGTACACAGCTGGTGAGCAAAGAGCTTGGATTCCCTTCCCCTGCAGTTTTACAAATGCCACAGGGTACTCATTACACAGGCAGACTGCATTAATTCTGCAAATATGTCCACTTGTTCGATTCAGCACAATAGTGGCAAAATACGCATCTAGAGGATGCATCTCCACTAACAAAAGGAGCAGGAATCCTCTCAACTTCCTCTGGAGGTGTTTTATTCACGGTTCAGTGAAGTGTGTGGCAAACTGCAACCAGAGGCAGAATGCTATTTAAAGGCACTTATACCAGTTAGAGCTAGAAATGTAATGGTAAACAGGATAAATGAAACAAACAGCTAGTTTCCTGGAAGCAAGCAAAAAACGCCAAACACATAAAGGGAAGACTGATGTCATTCTATTAAACAAGAAGAAAACAAATGTAATTCAAGGAATGTTTAAAGTTTTTATCTTGCTTCTCACACACAGCAAAGCAGAATCAGTGTGAGGTCTACCAGGGCCCATATATTCCTACTAAACAGACTGAATCTGGGAAGAAAGCGAGTTACAAAACAAGAATTCACATTGTTCTGAGAGAAGAATCAGCAAAACTCATTAACTGCCTCCTATGTTGCTGTGATAGAGAAAGTCAACAAATAGCATTTCTGAAAGAACATGAGGTGAGAGGTGGCTGTGATGGACATACCCAGCTCTCTCTGTGGTCACCAAACTTTTAAGTACACAGAGATCCTGAAGATGCAGCCAGTTTTATAGAGCTTCCCCAGGCTGTCGAAGAAAACTGCCTGGTCATCTCAGGTGGATTCAAAATGAGGAATGCTACCTGAACACTTCCTCCAGTCCCTCCTACTGACCAGCACTGGAGTGATCCCAGTAGAGTTCTCCTGCCACAGCTCTGCGGGGACAAAGCGCTGCTCAACCCCATTGTACACTGGGTGGGGGCAAACCCAGGGCAGTTTGGGATTTACCACTGTACCTTTAAAATATTTACAAAACATATACACAAAACACTACAACCCTTAAGAACCCAGGGAAGGGAAGGGAGCATTGAGAACACAGCACAAGGCAGGCAGCAGGAGCATCTGCTTTCGGATTCCCAAGAGAGAGGAGGAGAAGAAGAAGAGAGAGAGGTTTCATATCATTAGATTAGAATGGAAACCACAGGGCAGGAAAATGCATTCAGATTTTTTTTCCTAAGGTGGAGGAAGAACCCAAGAGTGAGTGAGTGGCCTCCAGAAAGATCCATTTCCTTTGCTTCACCATCAGATCACCAAACTGTTGTTTTTCCATTATTATGTGAATACCAGGTGCTTCGTGCAGCTACACCCCACTCAAACACTGGGGCCTCCCATTTTCATGCTAAGCAGGAAGAATCTTGCATTCTTTTTAAAACAGGAATTATTTTGGGTGAGAAGGATGCAAAGATACCATGAAATAACTCTTTGGCTGTTTTCTCATTCTGTTCAAATTCTGGACATCCCTCAAAACGGGCTACCAGTTTTTTAACTGCTTTTTGCTGCAAGACAACAAAAAAGCAGTAGAAAACTGCATGGTTAATGAAGACTAGAAGAACATATCTCCTTTTTTTTTTCCCCAAATTTATTAAGGGTTCAGGGTAACATTCATAAAGGAACTCTTCAGCAATAATTTTTGTTTTAACTGAAAACCAGAAGCCTTGGGCTTTAGCAAGAGCACAAGAAGGCACTTTTCATAGTCATAAATCAAGTCTTCATGGAGAAGCCTTCAATGTCAATGTTGCCTAGAAGGGAAAGGGCAGCCGTGGGTGTTTAATACACAGGGCTGTATGGATGGGAGAGAGAGAGTGAAGTTCATGTGTGAAGAGGAAAGCACTGCTCTGAAAAGCACAGGCAGTGGGATATGAAGAACATTTTGCCAGGCCAGTTATTTTTGTTCTTTCTTTTGCAATTATTTCTGAACAAGTAGGGATTTGATAGAGGCCAGAGGCTATTCTCAAAACCAAACAATAATGACTAAAATCTAGAGTAATTCACAGGTAGCTTTGGCCTATAAATATCAAAAGAACTGCAAAGAGCAGAATAAATATTTACAAATTCAGAACAGCCAATTGTTTTGGTAAAGCATATAGGTTTTTAACCATGCAGGGAAGTAAAACTCTAAATAAACCACATAGACATTTACTTGTTCAGACTGTCTTGTTATAAAACAAAACAAGAGAAAACTATGGTATTAAGCAGAAGTAGAGGATGGGGGAAAGGGCTAAAACTCATGTCTTTTGTACACAGATCAATGGCTTTCTGGTTTCCAGATAATACAGGGCTGAAGAATTTCAGAATGCATCTTGGGCAACATGGGTGGAAATTTGCAGAAGGCTCTCAATGTGAACATACCCCAGAATATATGTTGAAGCAAAGAGGCCACATAAAAACTGTGGACCTCAAATCCAAGCAAAAGGCATAGACTCTAAACCAAAACTGCTTAGCTGAATTCCAACTTCAAAACCTTTTGTGTGCATGCACACATGTGCACACACGTGTGTGTGAGAAGGAGGGAAATTTTGTTTTAATTGAAAATGGGAATCTTAGCATTGATTAAGTCAAGCAGAGTATAGACATGCACTGTGCAAGCTTCCCCCATAGAGCTTTGGCAATGCACCTCGCTCCTGACCTGCAAAACTCCCTGCTATTCCAGTGCTGAACCTCCTGGGCAGAGAGAGAATCACAGCAATTTGTCATTGTGGTGATACTGGTTACGTGATGAGAACCAATTGCCAATTAGGACAGAGACCACTGAATCTCTCTGCAGCTGACCTGAACAACATTTGAAATCTCATCTCCAGAGATATAAATTACCATTAACCCTCAACAAAACTTGCCTCTTAATATATCTATAGGAAGAGAATAGGAGTGTGAATGCAAATTCTGTGGGGGAGGTCCACATGGGGCAGTGAAATGAGGATGCTTATATTAAAGCACCAAATATCTTAGACATGAAAGGTCAGTATCTCAGAAGTGCCAAGTAAGTCTGCAAAAGAGTATATAAACTCCTTTCACATATGAGATATGACAGTTTTTCTACAGAAGTATTTTAATGCAATGAAAATGGCAGGGATGGGGGTGAGTTTAGCTTTTGTTCTTACAGTCTCCCATCACACAAAGCTGTTTTACCTTATTCTGTCTTCCTCACAGGGCAGCCATTGTCAATGCAATGGGAATGGGTTGATATGAAGGCTCAGCTGACTGAGTCCCTGCTTGTTCAAAAGGCTGGGGAACCTGATCCCACAGAGAGGAGTGTCTCTGAGCATTTGTACATGCTGCCCAGAAACGACCATGCTCAGAGTCTCAAGTCAGAGGGAACAGGAGACAGTCCCCAGAATAGCTTTTCCCTTCCCCCATCACTCTAATTCCTGCTGATCTCTACAGAATATGTTCTCTAGGCAATGAACTGCCTTTTACTCTGCAATCAAAACAAGAGAAGCGGGTACAGAAACAGGACTTACCTTCGAGCCACGCTCATTAAAGATTATCTCTACATCAAGGATTTTGCCGAATTGCTGCAGAGAGACAAGGGAAAAGAAAAAAAAAACATTTATTTTTGGCGGTACAGTTTTCCTACCTTTTGCAGGGGCTGGCTTAGTACAAGAAGATAGGTGAGAATATTTCCATTTCTAGCATACAGGCAAAGGCATAAAATTCCACCGACATGACTCAATTCTCCTGGGTTAAGACATGAAGATCGTCTTGGTCACAAACTCCAGGTTTTCTCACAGAAGTCTAAAGGAAGAAAAACAATCTCCAGAAGAGTTTTAGGGATTTGAGGAAGCTCATCTTTTCCCCGTTAATCTAAACATTAATTCTTCTTTCCCTCATTCTACTGTTTCAGCTAAGACATGGCTCTATGATTTCATCTCAGATATCCAACAACATTTCTCACATATAATTCAACATTTCAGCTTCCTCCTGAAGTGGCTATCACAAAGAGAAACTTAACAGTGATGATCCTCTGGAAGGAATAATAACATACGACTCCCAGCCTCAGGGATTTCAAATACTAAAGCTTCTTTCCTTCCATTTATTTTCCAAAACTCCAAGCCTTCAAAAGAATTGATAGCAGAATCTGAAACCACAAAAATAGGAAAATTCCCCATAGTTTGTTTTTCAGAAAAAGATCATTTAACTTCAACCTGTGACATATAGTAGGTGGTCAACAACCTATGCAACCTTATCACATGTAATAGAATTCTGACCTCTGCCTCAGCCTGGAGACCCCAGAGGAGAGCTCTGCACTGAAAAGGGTTCCAAAGAGCTCCCTATTTAGCACAGAAATAGATTTACCACCTCTGTGGATCCATGTATGGGTTACATCTTTCACCTCGCTAGGAATGTATTAAAATATTTTATTGAAGCAGCCAGACTCAAAACAGTGGCCTAAAAGTAAAAGTATCACCACTTCAACAGATGCTCACAGTGCTCTGTCCTCCAGAAGTGTCAATGCTCTGTTTCTAAACTGGAAGTCTGCTCCCTAGGAAGATGGGTCTAGATGTTGTTTTTAGGAGTGTGCATATGGAGCAGTCTCCATTCTAGAGGTGCATACTCACATACTGTACTCAGACAAATGCTATATCTGTTTTTCCTATCCCATTACTTAGGAAAGCTTCCATCAACATGGTTTTGAGTTAAGTTTGGTAGATGAAGGAAGGATCAACAAGAAAATAAAGGATTTTTTCACACTTAAAAAAGATGATGAACACAGGGTCTAGGTACTGGGATACCCTCCCTTTTGCCCAGCATTCTTTTTTTTTTTTTTTTTTTAATTTAACAGTTGCATTCAAATGGGTATAGTACTCATTTTGTGGGTGCCCCTCTTGAAAGGCTTGTGGCCAGATCTGAAAACCTGAAACATTTACAGCAGAGAGCCATGATGGCTGAGGGAAGGCTCTGAATATGTTAATCAACAAAAAGTTGCTGAGTCCCTTGAACAAGTACTCCACAACTGTCTTCAAGCAAACAAAGCACAACAATTTTAGCTATAGTTTCTGTCTGCTTGTCTTCTCCATTCTTAAAAAGGAGATCTTGGTTCACAGATGTTGTTTTTACTGTTCTATTGTTTAAGGACAATACTTGATCCTCTATTCATCCCAAGAACAATTGAATTCACAACATTCTACTTTACACAAGTTTGAATAATGCTAATGTAAACATGCATCTTCCTTGAAACCTCCACATCTCAACAGCTTAGGGTTGATCCATGCTGGTTCCTCTTTTGACCGCTTCTCTGCCAATCACAGCTAAAATATGTTTTCTATTTCTATCCCACGCTTAGTGTGGGCTTGTCAATAAAGGAGATTAACTGGTGATTGCTTTTTGTTGTCTTTGTTGCATATAGCTTTGGTACTGCCATGAAAGGAATCAGTCATGATTGTCATGACTGCTTTCTTGGTAGACTATCTCAGGATCATTACATGACTGGGGCTGAACCAATTCAGCAGCTTGTGGCCACTGAAAGGCTGCCCCTGCTCCTCTGTCCTTCCTCGTGTGGTCTCACCAGCCTTCCAGAGCTGGCCCCAGTTTTCATTCTCACCTGCAGATAAACTGATACAGCTCAGCAACCCTGCAAAAACCAATGCCAACAAAAGGAATACATATAAAGATTCTGACAATTTACTGAGCTGAAGTGGCTTGAAGGGTCAGTGAGCATTACAGCTTGAAGAAGCAAAAGGGAGCGGAAAGCAGCACACCCTGCCCAAGAGCAGGATCTGTCCCCTGCTAGATCAGCTCAGCTGCCTAGCCTTGCCACACACAATGAAACAGCCAGGCTCTTGATAAATGCAAATGCCAAAATTATTTTCAGAATCTTCAAAGCCATCAAAAATCGCCATTTTCTACCTCATCAGAATGATTGTGAAGAAGAGCAAACTGTGCGGCTTCTGGTGCACAATTACACCGTGCCGTCCTCCCCTTTCTGTGCACCCGGCTGGGCCTGGATCCTTGGGCATTGCTGCCAGCCCTGCCTGCAGCCCCGCGGGGCTGAGCTTCCTGCGCAGGGCTTCCACACCAATGGGAAACCCTGTCCTGTGCGTTTAATCTCTCATGGCTGACAGAACGCCGGCGGTGACACCGAATGCGGGAGGGCTGACGTAGCTGTACAAGAGGAGGCAGGGCCCTCCCTGCCTATGAGATGGCGCAGGTACATCGTTTCCTGGATGACAGAATTAAGAGCCTGTGGTCGCAGCAAATAGGCTTGACATCTACTGCAATGGGCTACATCCACCCATGCAAACTGCACCAATCTCTTTTCTACCCAGGAGCTGTGGGTGCTTGAAGAGGCAAGGAGGAAAAGGACCTCCTTGGGAGAGAAGAGCAGAGACAATGGGGGCTGACTGCTGAATGGAGGTTTGCTGAGGAGGGGTTTCCTGCTCCATGAAATTGCCTGAAAGAAACCAGGGCTGTGAGGCAGAAGGACGTGTGCTGAGCTCTTCAAGGCTCTGCTGCAGCCTTTGCCACAGCTCCTAACACGAGGTCTCTTGTCCCCACTGCTGCAATGGTTACAGCAGGTCCCAGCACTGGAAGGAACTTATTTTTGGTAGCGTGCCAGAATTTTCCTGAAGAACAAAAGCAGGAAAAAAAGAACTAGTTCATTTTAACAGTTTGTAACTCCTTCAAAGCTGAATCTAATTTAGTGGAACATAAAAAGGCACTTTGTTCCCTGATGGTGCTTCGCCTACCAAATGTCAACAGCCTATTGCAAACAATCAAAGTTTTAAGAGCTCCTTAGTGGAAGGTCACAATTTTTGTATGGGAAATACTAGGCCATCTAAATACAAGGGTCAACACCAAGTGCCCTCACATAATTTTTAAAAATTATTTTATATATAGGCATGTTTGTATTTTTCAAAAGACATAGGGACTGGCCAAATAAAACAAGTCCTATGCTTAAGTCATCCATGAGGACTAACTCTCTAATCTCTGACCTTGAAGACATGAATCACTGACCTCACAGACTTGATTAGCTCACTCAGTGATTACCAAGAACTTCTACTTAGAACTCTGCAGAGCCTCTGGAGGACTACTCATCTCCAATGCTCCCCACCATGATTTAGAAAGCTTATTATGTGACCAAGAGGCCAGCACTCATTACCACAGGAGTGCATCAGGTCGTGCAAGAAGCCACCTCCATGAACTGCTCACACACACATGTGATGGGAAGTTACACACACACACATGCTATTTCAGTCATGACACGGCAACGGGGCTATAGAATCTTGTTTTTTCTTACTGGTCTCTTCCCTGGAATGAACTTGACAAGCTTTCAGTTATTTTTAGTGAAGCAGGTAAGTGAGAATCAGATCCTCTACAATAGTAGCAGAGAATGTTGGCAGTAACAGTTTTTAAGAGGCATAAAGATAGAGACAGGAGTTACCACCAGAAACTAATCTTGCTTGAACACAATCTACCTTATCATAGATGCAAGGGCATTGTGCAAGGAAAGAGATGCATGCTGTGTGTTTCTTTTCACACAGATGTCATGAAGGCAACAGATTTTTCCAGCTGAGGCCACAGCTACATTAAACATAATAAATTTGAGAGATCTGGCACCAGAAAGCTTTTGTCTTCCAAGGCACTGACAATTTGGTAGGGCCCCTCCTATATGCTCTGTTCCAGCTGGCCCTGACTCCTGGGCCTGTCTAGAGCTTTCAAAATCAGCTCCAAAATGTGCCAGACAAATAACTTAATCCTGAAGATGCAAACAACAGGGAGTACAAGGCAAATTCTCTAGAAATCATGGAACAACAAAAGATTAATGAGAGACATAATGAGACAAACTCACCCCTTAAAGAGTACTCTGGATGTCCAAGCAGTTTGATTAGCCCTACAAAATTCACTTAGACATGAGTTCAATGAGCTATCTAAACTTCAAAGGTGTCAAACAGTCCATTTCTTAAAGATGGTCAACATTCAAAATAGCCAAGAAACTGACATCTTGTGCAGGAAACCATAAGGTACATGAGCAAGAGCATTTTATAAGCAGGATAGATCCATGCTACAGAGAGAGTCCTCTCCCTAGGTATGAGCTCCATGGGATATACTTTCAGCTGAGCAAAACTGGCTCCATCATAGTATGTATTAGTCAGTGCTTAGTTATGGCAGCATGGGGTCTGCCAGAAGCACACTGTCAGCACACCAACTTCCTCACTCAAAGCTGAGTCACATCGCTTCAAGCAATGGGGCCAATCCATGTCAGCTGAGCTACACCACTCTGCTTTGCTGACAGAAGACAGAAGCATCAAGGATTTATAAACCAAAGCACCACCACAGTTTACCAAGTGAACACATAATGAACAAGCACCAAGCAGCCCTTAGTAGGGTTGAGCTGTTGCCCAACAAAACAGACATTTTCTGAGAAACCAGACTTTAACAGTAAGCCACACAAAGAACACATATTTCTAACAGGATTTACAGACCACAGCCATCGTACACACACACACACAAAAAAAAAAAAAAAAAAAAAAAAAACCCAAAAAAATCAACAACAAAACAAAACAAAACCATGATG